CACTGCGGAGATCTCTCGCAGTCACCTCCACCAGACCTAAGTCTGTGGTGCAAGAATATACCCGCATCTTGGAGCGGCAACGACTGCGACCGGAGCTGGAGCAAAGACACAGCTGTGGGTCAAATTAGCTATCGAGGTAACCAGATTCACGCTTTCAGCTCAGCTGCCAGACGACGAGTCAGAAACTGCTGTTAGGCCCAAAGCAAGGCAGCAGGTCTCGGGGCCGCAGGCTGCGGCACTCTGAAGGGTGGCCAGGCCGATAAGCACAGGGAGTCAGACCTAACAAAAGCTCTTTCCTTTAGTGAACGCACAGCACTGAGAAGTCGCTATGAAGAATAACAGGAGACCCATTTATTTAAAATATCTATTGAAATTACAAATTAAACTCTTCAATAGGATCCAAAGTACAAAACACAACATTAAAAGGCATTCAACAGCTCTTTTATACATCACAGTGTTAGTGGCACAAAATGTACTTACATGTCAAATACATCAACAGAACTGTTTTTACACTGGTCAAATACATTATTTATACATACGCATGACTCCTTCATGCTTATCCCTATACAAGTTTAAAATACATCCATGATAAAATGATCAAGAAAGGTTCAGTTATGTACCACGTACCTGTACCTAATGTTCTGGAATTCTTATAAGAGATACACAACCCAAAGCAATAATGAAGACCACAGGGGTCTAAACACAAACAGCATGCCCTACTTAGTATAAGTGCATTAGCAATTAAGCACTGATGCAGGCTTTTTTGACATCTTTAATATCACTGTCATCAAAAAACGTCTTCTACCTGTTTTCCTCAGGATTTTAGACTATGCATGTGAAATGTACAAACTTTGGTTTTAAAAAAGCCAACCTGCACAAAGCTTTATGCATGCTGCACCTCACTGGGATGAGAACGGCCTGTATTAAATGTATGCATTCCTATACAGCAAAAGCCCTACAGATGAAATGCACAAAACCTCATATTTGTTTTCCTGCCCATAACAACTTTAAATCAAAAGCACTTCATCTTTTTCTGATCTGTGGCTATTTTATCCCGTCAGCTCCATAAATAAGACAGCTTTTCACTAATGGTGATTATGTTTCCTGCACGTCAGGAGATCAGCTGTAAGCTGAGAGTTGATCCAGTCGGCTCTTATTTGGGATTTTGCCTAATTCATAAACTGGAGCATTTAAGGAAAGATCAAGCTGCTCAGTTAAGTAGGGGGAAGCATCCCAAGTTCTTGGCATGCTGAAGTCAGTAGTAGGAGGTTTCAGATGAATGCCAACATGAAAAAAATTGAAATATTAACTTAAAACTACAGTAAGCATTTTCATGTAAACTTTCCTCACAGATTCCTGAAGAGCTTGCACACCAATGAATTTGCCCTCACAGCCCTCCTGTGAGGTAGGTAAACATTGGTCCATTCATTTAAACGATGGTTAAATTGCGATGAGAGGAGATAAGTGACACGTGAGGAAAACCCAATGCTACTGCTATTGAAGTCGGCCCAGGCTACGCCACTGGTGTCTCAGAACTGACTTCAGCCCAGCTGATGAATGGCAAGTCCAGGGAGATGCAAAGCCTCTGGAATCTGGACTCCACACTCAGTCCCATGCTCACTCGACAGGACACCACTTTACCCAAACGGAATGTGCAAATGAAGTACTGTTACAAACTCCTTTTTTTTTGCATTTAAGACAATGCAAAAAAATCCTAAATAATAGCATAACCATAAAAAAAATGCACAGAAACCAGCAGTGAATCTTATTTTTCTGGTGAAAAACTAAGCCAAAGCCGTTGTAACAGAATTTAATCTGAAAAGTAGTAGACAAGTTTTACTCTTCCATGGCAGGGACTTCAAATGTCAAGAGGTTAAAATAAGGTATTTACAATTCAATTTCACGGTATTAAATGTCACACGATCAACACAGGCTGTAACATAAAAACGTCCCAAACACAATACATCACTACTTTGCTTTGCTACTTTGGAAACAAAACTACATTATAAAAAAAAAAAAAAAAAGACAAAATGAAAAAAATCCTTAAGAATAGAGATGGAATGACACTTAGCAAACCTGAAAGGATTAAGTATTTGGTAAATATATGTAGGCATATAGCCTACCCCACCAGCCAGAATGTGAAACAAGAGACATGTCATCCAAATCTCCAGTAGCAATTCAAGTATGTTGAGAAGGGAGACAAAACTATACTGACAGAAGTACAAGTTTTCTGATCATATCTAATGTTACCTGTGAGCATTAATTATAAACTATCATTTAAAATGACTGTATTTGTAAAGGACTTATTTTTATTTCTTTTTTTATTTTTTTTTAAATCCAGAAATGCATTAATTTTGACACTGATTATTAACTGGCCACATAGTACCGTGGGAAACTCAAGTTTCGCTATATTGCCACATGAAGGCCATCTCTGAGAAAGGCACAGAGATAATAAACCTCATAGCAGGACACTGTTAACAGGCCACTGCACCTCTGCTGTCTTCTGTCATCCCAGTAATAGAAGTGGTCATTGGAGCCACTACCACAGCAAAATCCCTCCATGCTCCCAATTAGAAAATGAAGAACCCATGAAATCTTCCCACCCTTTTGTCCAGTTTATCTTTTTCCAGTTAAGCAGAACGACAGGGCCAAGGATGAAAGGTGGCAGTGCCAGCTAACCTGCAGGAGGCTGTCCTTCGCAGAAGGGTTTCCATTACTTGTGCACACTCAAGCTATGGGTCAGGCCAAGCCGGGTGCTCAGCTGAGGGTACCTCTGGGAGAATGGACTGAGCTGCGGCCAAAGCCTGAAGAGAGATTCCTACATCACTGCCGGCTGAACCCAGCAGCGCCTCACACACCGCTGGGGGCTGGCAAACAGGGATCAAATGCACTATCCAGACTTCCTTCCCAGTATTTTTGAACAACTAAGCAATTTTTAAAAACAAAGATAGCTAAAACACTACAAATACTGTGATAACAAAACCAGGTATTATGAGTAAAGATCTGAACTGTGCATTGCCATAAACAATCTGAAGATACCACAGGGAGTTCAGACTTGCTGGAAACCAGCTATTCTTTGTGTTATAATGGCTGTACTCATTAAAATCAAGCCAAATAGACAAATTGCAGATAACCTCCAGCTCCCGGAGCTAAATTCTGTGGTTACATACAGTTTGAATTTGGATACCATTAAGCTTGGAAGGAGGAGAAATAATTCAATAGTAGTTTTATAAAAAGACAGTGGCCCTTTTCAGAACTGTACCCTACAGTCTTTTTATTTAACAGACAAACAGTATGAAAGGAAAGATAATAAAGGAAGGAGTCATTTCCTTATGCCTGAGCTAAGAAAATATATTCCCAGCCTGTGACAGCAACCAATAGCAGTTGCATTTAAGGGTCTTAATACATTTTCAGTGCAAAGTTATCCTGGCTTCAACATACTCACCCATCTCAGTACATCGAAAATGCACAGAAATAAATGATGATGAAAAAAACGCAGTCAAACTTCAGTCCACAAACCATTCAAAGAATGTTTTCCTTCAATACTACACACAGATACACACATTGTTTCAGATGCTTCATATTTCATGGCAACAAGTTATTAGTTGAATTCTTGTAGGCTTTAAAATCAGAGCAAAATGGTTTTCAACAAGATTATTGTATTTCTAAAGTATTTCTAAAGAGAAACTACAGTGATTAATAGCATGTTGACTAGCACGCTTTACTACTCTGGAAACAGCACTGTGAACTCCACAAAACTATCAAATCAAGTGATTATTTTTCAAATAAAAACTTGTTTGGTCACAGCATTGTCACTAACAGCATACACCATACGATATTAACTCTGAAAATGGGCTAAGTAGTTTAAATGTAAAGTACAACTTCCACAAATATCCCAGGCATTTTTGTTATTAACTACAGGGATAACCCTGATGTATTTTTATACTTAAAAGGAAAGACTCATTGATAATTCAAGAGTTGCTAAATAGTAAAGTTAGTTCTGTGTTTTTTAATAACTGCCCTAAAGACAGAACCAAGCTATCTTGAACTTCCAAAATATTTCAATAGCACAGCTATTTACACATTTGGTTTAAATAGGATTATATATATCTCTCTCTATATATAAAAAGATTAAGATACCTGGATTAAAAGTTACATAGCCCTGTAAGTGTAGCACAACCCTAAACAACAGCAAAAAATAACAATTCAGAAAAACACTAGTGGTCCAGCTGTAATCAATACCATCAATGCATTTTTAAAAGAACCTTGATTAGATAGCAGGTTTGTGTCACCACTCAACCGTACAGCTTCATCAATTCACTTTTAAAATGTAGCTTTCAATCAAACAAATTTCTTGTAAGACTTCAAAAAAATTCCTGGAAGGCAGCAGGACCAACTTTGTCCTTCTAAGCCTCCCCAGATTTCAAGAAAGGCATAGGATGGCCTATATGCACCTTATTGATTTTGTTCATACTTGGAAAAATAGGTACTAAAAAGGACATTGTGATGGCTTTAACCAAAGCAGATGTGTAATAAACACGGTAAAGTCACACTAAGTTGACTATCTGATTTAAATGATAGGCAACTTAAATATATACAGGAATAAGACACCAAATTTTGAAGCAAACGGATATGCAGAAAGTTTAGATTTGTATGCATTTCTAGTTTGTTTTGCTGATGTCACTCAGCACAGTTCCCAGTCCAGCAGCAGAGCATCAGAAACTTTTTCATTACTTCTAGCGGTATCACCTCCTCATTTCAAACAGCTCCCTGGGTCCGTGGTCTCCCTTTAGCACCAAACTCGCCTTCCATTACCCTCCTTGTCTATTATCCCTTGATCTATGCAACAGCAGTAACAACAGTTCCTGGAACCAAGACTGTGTGTCAATTAAAAGCAGAAGGGGGCAAGTAAGGCTACAGCAATGTAAGTGCAGAGGGAAACATCAACAGCAATAAAAAAATCAAAATGCACGTTGCGATGAGTCCAACCTTCTCGCAGTCTAGGTAGGCAGAGGGTCATCATCTCCTTTATTACATTTGCACTTGCAGCACAGAACAAACGGTGTAGCCAGGAGAAGGAAAGGGGAGGCCACCAAAAGTAGAAGACCAAATCCCGCAAAAATTCCTACAACCTACAAGAGAAAGCAATAGCACTGTGTTACGGATAACAGTTGTCTAGATTCTACTGACACCAGTGCATCATCAGTGTCCTTCAAGAGGACCTCAGCAAATGCCACTGACCTGACCAGAGCCAGGACTCACCCCCACGTGTACGCTACAGTCAGCTCCTGCCATCAGTAAACGTGAGTGAAATCAGAGAGCGAACGCTCACGTGTCACTGCTGCAGCCAGAACTGTGCCACAGCGCCCAGCTCCGTCACACAACGCGATGCAGGTGGTTGGTTGCCTTTCTGAGTTTTGCTGTATTCCATGTAACTAATGAAGTATCTGACTAGACAATTTTTCGTGAGCAAAGCTAAATATTAAATATCAGGATCACAGCTACAAGAGAGTTGGAGACTCCCACTTTCAGGTGCTCCCCTTTTTGCTGGAGACAGCTCCAAAAAGAATGAAAGTTGTGGTGGTGTTCATGGAGAATCTGGGAAGACTCCCACAGACTTCCAATCAGAAAGGAACGCAAGGAATCTCTACTCCAGGTTACAAACACTATAGACTACAGGAGGACTTTGCATATGCCAAAAGCCTTTTTGCAGTCAGACCTGAGCTCATCCTGCTGCTTCAGGGGACGTGACCTAACTCCACCTAAAAGTATTTTTTTCATTGATTTTATTGATCACACTCTTCCCAGCATGGGCAGAGAACAACAGACTTACCCATCCTGTCAATGTGCCAAACTCTATTAGTTTCTACAGAGTTTAAATTTGGAATATTGTTAAAAAAAAAAACATTCAGGTTGGGGATCATTGCCTGAGGAAGTTTCCCAAAAATTCAGGTTGAGGATCATTGCCTGAGGAAGTTTCCCATTTGCCACAGGCAACTGAAAGAGTAACACTGCAACAATATGCCGGCAAATTATTTGAGAAAATAATTTATATTTATTCACGAGAGTGTCTGTGAATAATTCTGAATAATGAAGGCAGGAGTGGAATGCTAATCTGCTAACAAAACCCACAACAGAAGGCAAAATGAAATTAGAGAGCAGTACCCATTAACGGATTCTTCTAGCCAGGGCTAGATGTGACACTTCAATTAACTGGCAAATATTTAATTAGCCATGGTATAGATGGGATGATTTACTAGTACTTTTGTTGGCCACGCACAATTTCTCTTTCTGATTACTATGTATATCTTTTCACAATTCCACCATCCAGGGATTTTCGAGGAGGCTGAGAGGAGAGGCTGGTTGCAGGAGATGGCGCTGTGGGACAGCAGTCGCCGCCCTCAGACTGCCTCCTGCCAGCCAAATTCTTTCACTCCCGATTTTGGCTGTCCAGGGATAAGGAGCTTAAACTTCCTTGCCCTAATAATTTTATTTCTTGCCAAGAGCGATTTCTTTTTCAGCTTCAGAGGTGTGCACTTTTTACTACTCATTCTGGGTGTTTTTGGAGGTGATGACAATCTCATGCCGCTTCCATTTAGCAATCTTTGCATTTATTTACTACAGACTTAAACCAAAGTTAATTCTAATCTCCCTTAAAAACTGAGAGCTGCAACTACTGCCATACTGCTCTTTGGAGACACCGTGCCCTTGCCTTTGCAGACCATGCTAAGAGTGCACTGGTCAGACAGAGCCAAGATGGAAGTTGGCAATTCAGTGGATCATAGTAATTTTTAAGAGATACCTACTTACACCTTCCTTTCAGTCTCAATATGCCATCGAAGAATTTATTAAGTTTCATTTTGTTTGGGGTTTCTTTTTTTTTTTTTTTGTCTGTCTGTCTGTTTTTCAAACAAAACTGCCCGCTGAGTATTACTTACTCATTTTCTACTTGTTTCTGTTGCTTCTGAAGAAGTTGCTGCCCTAATCAGCATCAAGCCACTCCTTCTGGCCAAAACAAATATTTTTTTTAAATCCACAACAAGAAACCGAAGGCTTACCTCAATCTGCCTTGGATAAATGCTGAAAGGAACTTAACGTAAGGAAATGACTGCAATGTTGATTTGGCTTTAGTGGGTTTAGCAGAATTATATCCTGATTGGTGGAGAATCACCACTTTCTCTCTCAGCAGTGAGCAGAACATCAAACATAGTGTCTATCAAACATATTTGCACTAACTGCTGCGGCTGAGAGCAGACTGCAAATACCAGATTAGTCACCTCATATTACAGGTATGTCAAGAAAGCTTATGTACCCACACACTTCCTCACATACCACTGGCTAAGCCAAGCAAAACGCAGTCCACAACTCAGGCACCCAGAGGTGTACGTGGAGGAAGAGGGGTGCAATGCTTCTCCTTTTATTTCAGATTAGCTGTCTGTCCAGACTTGGGGTTTATTCTCTAGACTCAGGGTTTATGCTCAAATGGAAAGAAAACCGTACTGCACAAAAAGTGCTTCATCTCAAGCTAAGGTAGGTATTTACTGGCACGCAGTTAATTTAGGAAATGACTCAGATACCCAGATGTCCCTGTATCTCTGAAGTGGGTGTAAAGGCAGCAGATTGGACGAAGTCACACACTGGCATTCACTACCCAAGCAGTGCAGAGAGCTCTTCCATCACCAGCACTCATGCTGGGTCCCGTGAGACTGGTATCCCCACCCTCTCTGTAACTGTCGATTTAATTCTCTGTGTGGAACTACTGATAAGCTCACTAGGTTACTTTCCATCTAACTTGCATGAATGAGTCAACCAGAGTTCACAGTAAAATACTGAGCATAATCAAGGCTAATCCCTTTCCAGTTCTGGACCCAGAGCTAAAGATCCCTGCAGGATGAGCTTCCCAGTTAACAGTTTGGATAGTGGCAACCTAGTCTGTCCTCCTCTCATTTACTTAGAATGTATCTGGACTGACACTTAACTGGCTCTGCAAACACACCCTTTCTAGTTCTCACTGGCTTTCTAACCAAGGAGTGTCCTCTCTGGGACAGCTGACTGTTCCTCTCCAAGCCACTGCCCTCTTTAAATCTGCTATGAAAATCAGTTACCATTTGGCACAGAATTTTACCCTAAGGTGTTAAAATGAGTAAGGCGAAGGAAGGCAACTTTACCTGTGTTCTGTGCCAGATAACAGACGCCCTGGAGTGTCCCAGTTTGTTTCGACAAGGTCCTTTGTCATAATGTATAAGGAGAAAATCATCCTACAAAATATTAAATGAAAAGGTAGGTAATAAACAGAATTACAAACTATTCTCCAAGTTACAAAAGACTATTTCCTAAGAACTTATAATCAGGAATTGTACAGGAAGATACAAGCTCAGTAAAGTGGATATGGCCGGGTTCAACCTTCCCAAAGTGCTTTGTTTACAGTTAAGCATCTTGACAAACAGGTTTGTTTAGCAAGTGGTGTATATCTATAACGAATTCTTCTCCCAAAGGGTCTCAAACTGCGTATTTAAATACTAGTATGGAATTTAGCAAGAGGATCCAGTATAGGCTTATTGCATATATTTTGTACACATACAAAAGAGCAAAGCAAAGGAAAATGAATACTTTTACCACAGACTTCCCAAAGTTGGTTCTTTTTAACTAGCTGAAGAATAAAAGGACTATACAGATTTTTTAGAAATTATTTCCCAATCTCTCCTGCCATCTTTTCGCAAACCAACCAAGACAGCAGGCCTAGTACCACAGGAACATTGCTTCTTAACTGAGCACATGAGAAGCTTGTGACTTAGGGACTGTTGGTAAAGCATTCAAATGGGACAACCACAGGATTTGAATAGTCAGAGTAGCTTTTGGGAACCTAAACCATTTCCTTTGCTATTGTTAACGATGCTATAAAATACAACAGATGACATGGAAACAGATGTTGTATATTGTATATACTCTGATCCTTGGGCATGATAACAGGCTGATTTTTAAAAAAACCAAACATATGACAGCAGCAGCTTATAGACTGATAAATTCCCGGTGTTAGGAGAACACTGTATTCTTTTTCATACGTCAGATCTATTTTTGTCCCATAGAATACAATGAATGGTAAACAAATCTGACCGTTAAGACTCCTGCATGGTGATGCACCAAATCTAAATTTTGACTGATAAACTTCCACAGACTGAGAACATTGCTATACTCATCCTGTAGCTCCTTCAAGAAAGGGAACATTCAGAAATCAGTACTGAATGAAGTATTATTAAAAAAAAAACCAAACCAAACAAACAAAAAAAAAACAAACCCATGTTAGTTACCATATAAAGACTGCAAAGAAAATCTTCATAAAATTTTGCTTTGTAATGATTATTTCCTCAGTCATATAGACAAAATGCTAAAATCATAAAGGTCAGACAAGTGAAACAGAGCCATCAAATCCTATCAAGTTACCAGCATCAGCTCTGGCAGGTTGCGGACTAGCAAGCTGGACAGCAGCTAGTGAGCTACTACTTAATTGATTAACGAGAGAGCTGGATGGCAAAGCAATGAACGTCTAAGCTGCTAAGGACCAGAGTGCATGGCATGTACTCACATCAAGAGATTCCAGACAGTACCAGCAAAAGGCATGTTTGCAGTTCTTACACATCATTTGGGCACAGCCTTCATCTCGTTCAATGTAAACTTTACACTTTGGACAGCGTTTGATTGGAGCATCATCTTCTTCCATTTTAAAAACCGAACTGTGGGAGAGAGTAAGGAATTAATAAGATGTGTGGCCACAAAGAAGAGAAGAACTTCTAGGAACTGTGCTAAGAAGGTAAGCCTACCTTTTTATTTAAAAAAAAAAAAAAAAGAGAAATTAGTAGAGAACCAAGTATTCAACTGAGTTTTGTTATTCAGGTATTTTGGATGTATTTTATTTTTCAAACATATCTCTAGAATAAATGTTTAATGACTACAGTGTCTACCTTAACAGTCAAGACATTTTATTTACCACATATTTTACCAACTGTTTTTGTTATCTAGTCATAATAATGGATACTATACATTTTCCCCCTGAAATATCTCAGATGAGCAGCAGCTAGTTCACAGCTAAATATTTTGTATATGTAGATAATTTTTCTTTTTCCTTCTTTCTTCTTTCTCAGAAAAGAAGAGGAAGGAAACCCCTGATAGCCCTTAGAGCCCAGACTACATTCCTTGGGACTGGGGTACCAGGGAGAGATTGCTCATCTCTGCCATCCTTCAGGATACTCCAAGGGAACTTCCCTCCACATCAGGAACCATGAGTTTTTTGGGGCATGCCGTTCCTTCAGAACTGATCTCTTAATCGCTAACACTGTTGTAACAAGTTATGGTTCATCAGTTAGGGTCAGCACTGCCTCTTCTTGTCTTGCCTGACTATGCAAACCAGAGGATGTGCACTCACACAGCGGGCACAACACAGAGGAATGCAGTGGAAACACTGGAAGAACATCTACTTCCCTTGAACAGCTTTCTACCATACGCAGGCTTTATGCACACCAAGATGTACCTTAATAAATGACACTTCCTGCAGCCACTATCAGTGGGAGATACAAGAACAAGTGATGGGGAATCAACAGATTGTGGAAAAACAGGCCTGAGCCCCGACCGATTGTCTGATTGATTTGCCCACCACCAGGATAAAAGGACACACACTCGTTAATCACACTAAGGCAACCGTATTACAGAAAAATGCTTTGAATCCACAAGCTGTACATGAAACTCTAAATGCATGCTAGCACAAACTGCTACCAGATCATTATGCTCCAAAATAATGAAAAAAAAAAAAAAAAACAAACCAACCAAACCATACCCTCAGTAAAAACTGAAAGCAACCAAAATACTAAAGTAAATAGATTCAGTTTTTTACCTTCCCATGACATGTAGTAAGCTTCAGTTCTGATCAAGCACACACAAAAAAGCATGTGCAAGAGTTACAATATTTGGCCACGAACTCAATTCTATAAATACATTAACAACAAAAGGAGGGCTAAGGAGAATCTCCATCCTTTATTTGGTGCAGGGGGAAAAAACGTAGTGATAAGGGATGACAGAAAGGCTGAGGTACTTAATGCCTACATCACCTCAGTCTTCAACAGTAAGACTAGTTGTTCTCCAGGTATCCAGCCCCCTGAGCTGGAAGACAGGGAGTGGAATGAAGCCCCCGTCATCCAAGGCGAAATGGTTAGTGACCCGCCACATCACTTAGACACACACAGATCTATGGGGCTGGATGGGATCTACCCAAGAGTACTGGTGGATCTAATGGAAGTGCTCACCAAGCCACTTTCCCTCATTTAAGAGCAGTCCTGGCTAACTGGGAAGGTCCCAGTTGGCTGGAAACTAGCCAATGTGACACCCATTTACAAGAAGGGCTGGAAGGGGGACCTGGGGAACTACAGGTCTGTCAGTCTGACCTTGGTGCCGAGAAAGGTCATGGAGCAGATCTTCAGTGCCATCACAGGGCATGTACAGGACAACCAGGCGATCAGGCCCAGTCAACATTGGTTTATGAAGGGCAGGTCCTGCTTGACTAACCTGATCTCCTTCTGTGACAAGGTGACCTGCTTAGTGGATGAGGGAAAGGCTGTGGATGTTGCCTACCAAGACTTTAGTAAAGCCTTTGACACTGTTCCCGACAGAATTCTCCTGGAAAAACTGGCTGCTCATGGCTTGGACAAGTATATTCTTTGCTGGGTAAAAAACTGACTGGATGGCCAGGCCCAACATGTTGTGGTGAATGGAGTTGGTGGCCAGTTACAAGTGGTGTTCCCCAGGGCTCAGTACTGAGACCAGTTCTGTTTACTAGCTTTATCAACAACCTGGACGAGGGTATCAAGTGCACCCTCAGTAAGTTTGAAGATGAGACCAAGTTGGCAGGAGTGTTGATCTGCCTGAGGGTAGGAATGCTCTTCAGAGGGATCTGGACAGGCTGGGTTATGGGCCGAGGCCAACTGTATAAGGTTCAACAAGGCCAAGTGCCAGGTCCTGCACTTGGGCCACAACAACCCCCTGCAATGCTACAGGCTTGGGGATGAGTGTCTGGGAAGCTGCCCGGTGGAAAAGGACCTGGGGATGTTGGTCGACAGCAGCTGAATATGAGCCAGCAGTGTGCCCAGGTGGGCAGGAAGGCCAGTGGCATCCTGGCCTACATCAGGAACAGAGTGACCAGCAGGACTAGGGCAGGGATTGTACCCCCGTGCTGGGCACTGGTGAGGCTGCACCTCGAATCCTGTGTTTAGTTTGGGGCCCCTCACTACAAGAAAGACATTGAGGTGCTGGAGTGCGTCCAGAGAAGGGCAACGGAGCTGGGGAAGGGTCTAGACGCTCCTATGAGGAGCATCTGAGAGAACTAGAGTTCTATAGTCTGGAGAAGAGGAGGCTTAGGAGCAAACTTATTGCTCTCTGCAATTACCTGAAGAGAGGTTGTAGTGAGGGCGGTATCAATCTCTTCTCCCAACTGTCAACTGATAAGAGGAAATGGCCTGAAGTGTCACCAGGGGAGGTTTAGATTGGATATTAGGAGAAATTTCTTCACCTAAAGGGTTGTCAGGCACTGGAACAGGCTTGCCCAGGGAATTAGTTGAATCACCACCCTGGGATGTATTTAAAAAGCATGTAGCACTTAGGGGCATGGTTTAGTCGTAGACAAGGCAGTGCTAGGTTAAGAGTAGGACTCCATGATCTTAAGGGTCTTTTCCAACCTCATTGATTCTATGACATAATCCTAGCTAGTTATCTGCTACAGCAAAGCTTGAAAGAAGATGTTATGAATACCCAAGTGCAAGGATGGCCGTACTTTAATGGTACTTTCAACTGCTTTCTTTGAAAAAGCCCAGACATTAAGTGGAACGCATGCACAACAGCCTTTCTTATTCACTGGCTGCAGTATGCCACTGGAAACAGCTTGAAACAGAACTTAAGATCATCGGCCAAATGTGCAGCAGTTAGGATAATTGACAGATTTTCCTAAAAAATCATAGTTTGGCATAATGTTACTAACCTTCACAATGTCCAGAATAGCAGCAGCAACAAGATCTTCTCTGAAGGGAAGCTCCTGAGCTGCCTGGATATCATTTTTGCCCCCACTAGGGCAAAAGGGTGGCTGACAGAAGCTCAAGGAGCTCCTTTGTGCTTTACTGGGAACAGTGGCAAGGAGTGAGGCTGCCAAGAGCTATCCAGTTTTGGAATGTATTATTAAAAGAAGAGGAATGACTAAGTGAAGGAAACAGCTTAAAACAAAATATCAGGAAAATGCCTCTTCACTATTCATACTCCAGCTTGTTCAAACATTGAGTGTTTTGTTTCTAAACACTTGATCTTTTGCAATACTTCACCTTGTTTCTCCTGGAAGAAGAGAGATTGGCATGTTCTCTTGACAGCCTTGACCTGGATGCCAATTAGATTTGCAAGCAGAGCAGAACTCAATGTCACAGGCTTTGCACTGGACGAGCTGGGGGTCCTGTGGGCTTGATTCCTGGAGCTGGCAAACTGCCTGGCAAGTAGAGGATGGACACCAAGTCCGACACGGATCCAAAAGCACTTCTGTAAAGGGGCATAAAGGAATGAAATTCAAAGGCGGTTACAAGGCCGGCCTTCCATAACAATGTATTCCAGCTGAGGTTGACTGGCACGGCATTTGAAGACACGCATTTTCAAAAGAAGCCTTTTAATTTATGCTGCCCACGTAGGCATAAATCTGGCCTTTTTTGCAAAAAAGGCCCCAAACTAAAGTGAGTTTCCAGAGTCTGAATTAATTGCCCACTTCCATTCACTGAGTTAAACTTGTTCTGAGAATGAGATGTTGTATTTTTCTTCAGTTTTACTTGAATAAAATACAGCATATACTACGCAGGTATAATCCACCAGAAAGTGTTTTTACATTGCCTTGCCCTGTCAGACTCCATTTCAAGCTGGTCTTTGCCCTAATGGGCCCACATGATTAACAATAGAGTAAGACTGTTAGATGGTTTCATCCCTTTCTTGCAGGCTGTTTACTGGTAAGTCATTTCATGTTTCAAAGCTCAATAAAGTCAGTAAAAAGTTACTAATGACTCGGTTGTTCTTAGGCTGGGTCCTGCCCTCAGCAAAACCTTACTTTAAGTTCTCTATAGCCACACAGTTCCACATCCCCAAAGGCTCCCAGTCAGCATATATCCTCATAAAAATTAACAAGGTTCATGTTATCATTACACACAGAACTACCTAATAATTTTGCACCAAATGCCATCACAAGAGATAATGGTGGCTCCATAAAAGAAGTCAGTCTACCTTCCCAGCCCCCAGAATACTGGTAGTCAACTCAAACAGCAAAACTCCAAATAGAAGTCACTCCCTCCCTTAGTTATAGAGCAATATAATACATTTTCTTTCCTTAGTTTACTCCCAGAATGTTGTAATTCTGGGAATCATGCAAGCTAGAACCAAAAGAAGGAGTTTTTTGGGTTGGGTTTTTTTTAGTGGGGGAAGAGGTTGATGCCCAAACAATTAATGCACAGTGCTATTGCATGAAGATGTGCAGAGCCAGATGTTGATTTATGGAATTGCTCTGGAGCGATAGCATTCCCACAGCCTTGCAATTGTGTTACCTCTTTCAAACTGTAGCTTCTTATATCTTTGCATGATTTCTGATGCAACCATGCACTCAATCTGTTAAAGGAATGAAAAGAAAAAGACAAATTTCCAATTAGGAACAGCAATAAACTAAGGCATTTTCAGCAAATGAAGACAAAATATTTGACCTTTAGAGAACTATTATAAACATATGTTGGCAACAGTGGCAGCTGTAACATACGGACCAAGACACATTGAAATATCCTGGAAAGAAGGAAAACCTATTTTCAGTAAAAGTGTACCTCATTTTCCTGCAGATGACCTCGCTTTGGGCAGGCAGCATCAGGGCAGCTGATTGCTGTTTCTAGACCTTCTTTGATCAAAAGTTCCACATACTGTTTTAGGCACTGTAAGAGAGAAAAGATTGAGTTCACTATTCCAAGAATAAACCACTCAGTATTTTAACTACTCAGTATTTTACTCTGGAAATCTGAAGAACTGACACTTCCTTGAAAAAACAGATACTACTGTGTCCGTTTTACAACCATGGGCCACGTTCACAGCTTTTGCCATAGTTATACCTTTGAATAGAAAACAGCAGGTTCGTTTCCCCAAGGAATTCTTCCTCATTTTAAAATACACAATAAATTAAAAAAAAAAAAAAAAAGGGGAAAAGCACAAATCAAACAGGGAGCTAGGAGGGCGGAAAAAGGAAAAAAAAAAATTAAAACACCACCAAGATAAAATTAGATTAACCACACTCCAAAAATCTTGATGTGACTGGAAACACAACAGAGCTTAGTAAGCAGCAACTACCCATAGACAGACATCTGTCAACCATACCAGGGAGGAGAAGGGAGTGGCGTATCTTGCCCTATATTTCTAGAAAACAAGTATCTGAACTTCATGGTTAAATATCTTTAAAAATGTGAGAATTAGGACTCCTAGAAGAACTATGGTTTCCATGGGGAATGAATAATAAATATTGGTAATACTAATACTTTTCTCCCTAGCAACCACAGCATTTTAACCAAGCCGTAACAGTGAAAATGTAGCACCTAACACAGTAGTGCACAGCACAACCGTCAACAAAACAGAGATTAAAGGTGGATATTTTAGGCCAAAGGCAAATTAAGCCCAAACCTTGTTATTCTTCAAGAGCAACCACCTCCTCCACCTTCACACTTCCCATATCAAGGTGAGAACTACCATATAGGTGTATCCTGGGGAGGTAAGGGAAATGATGGAGAGAGATATCCTCCTTCCTGCAGCTACCTTCCAACTTCTACCAGCCTGAAACTGCACAGAAAGAGCAAAGGAGGGTCTGCTTTCCAGTGGGTGGGTCACCCTTGGTGTTCTCACTCTGCTTGCAAGCTCAACTGGCAGTGGAAAACTGGAGACAATCACAGAAAGTAGGTCCCTAGCTCTGTTACCAGATACATGAATAAAGCGAGAGGCTAGACCAAAAGCAGAGCAAAATAAAGATAGAAAACAAGCTCAGCATAGTTGGGTGGGAGGCGAGGATTACACACTCTGCAGCAAGCTGGAAAAACAAGGACTTCAAGTACCTTTTCCAGACAGAACTTGCAAAAGGTATGCAACTGCTGATGTGCCATCAGCCTGGGAAGGCAAAGGGCTGCATCGACCTTGCCAAAACTGCAGGTCAGAGTACAAAGCTGCTTCTTCCTTCCAACCACGCCAGCAAACAAGCCTATCAACGAGCACGTTTACAGCCTAACCCTTTGCATGCAGCTTGTAGCTGCTAAGGTCCAGATTTTGAGTCTACTCATTCAACCTCATCTCTTTCTGTTCTGCTTCTTGATATGTCTATTCATCTCCTTTCAGGGACCCCATCACCTATATTAACATTTTATTCTAGATTTTACCTCTTGAAGCAAAAACTCCACTTCCTGCCCACATAATTTCTACTGTGCTGATACACAGCTTTTCTGTGTACCTTGACAGTACAACAAATAATTTCTGTCCAAGTCTCCTTCCACACATCTCCTACTCAGAGACAACAGGCCTATTCTTCGGAAAAGAAAACCAGAAACTGGATAATTAATATCTTTTTACTTGTGTAAAAAATCCACATGCGATAGATTATGGTCTATGCCGCCTTCTTTTATCAGCAGGGATTTACTACAGACAACAATTCACTTAGATGTTTGACTTGCAGAAGGTTTCCAAGCCTTTACTTAGAGCTCTGCAGGGTGGGTGGCAGAGCAGTTCAAGAGAACCACCAGCAGCAACTACAGCAGGCTGAGCTCTGCAAGAACCAGGACCTAAGCTGGCTACGTTGGTCGTTTCAGCTGTAGTGAGGTATCAGTGTTGCCATAATGACACTGCTGGCTCTTTTCTTTCCCCTCCATCTGCAGATGCCAAGTGTGGATTAAAATGAAAATGCATACATTATTAATGCCAGCATTTAGCACTTAGAGAAAGTACTTTTCAGGCTGAATGAGCTCTGCCATCATCAATCATTAATGTGGTTAATTCTCTTCCTCAACCTGTTTGGGACCATTGCCAAAACGTATTTGATTTGTTTCCCGTTCCTCACATCTTCCAAGGAATAACACAGTTCATCCTTGCCACAAGCAGTGTCCAAGTCCTTCCCCTGATGTGGCACTGGCCCCTACTGCCTCAAAACCAGCCCAGACAAAGTACACTTCTTATGCTCCACCTTTTGGGAACACAGATGCTGTCTGGAGGCCATGAAATATCCTCTGCTTAATTTACAGTGATAAAACCCTCTGTCCACTTAAGACTTCCCTACTCCAGAGATTTCTCAGGTGGAGAAGGAACAATCCAAAGTGGTTGCAAGAAAATTTGAAGCACAGGGTAGCTGTGTATTCTCGAGAGCTGACGCAAGATGTGCTACTTGTGTCAGAAAACTCTAAACTGGCTACAGTACTAAAAATGCACCAACATGCAAGCGAAACAGCACAGTAGGATTATGTGCTCAGTCATATACTATGAAAATTTCATTACAAAACAAGTACAAAAAGATGACAAATAAATTGCTCGTTTTCTATGCAGCTTGTAGTTCATCCCATACCAGAAGAAAATACCTTCCTAGCTTTTCTATTAAGGTAATTAAAGTATCATAGAATGGTTAGGGTTGGAAGGGACCTTAAAGATCATCTAGTTCCAAGCCCCCTGCCATGGGCAGGGACACCTTCCACTAGACCAGGTTGCTCAAAGCCTCATCCAGCCTGGCCTTCAACACTTCCAGGGATGGGGCATCCACAGCTTCTCTGGGCAACCTGCTCCAGTGCCTCACCACCCTCTCCGGGAAGAATTTCTTACTGATATCTATCTTCCTGATATCTAATCTAAACCTCCCCACTTTCAATTTAAACCCATTACCTTTTGTCCTGTCATTACAGGTCCTTGTAAAAAGTCCCCTCCCAGCTTCCCTGTAGGTCCCCATTCATCACATAGGGTGAATGAAAAATGGAAGAGTGTAAGACACCCCATACAACTTTCAAAATGAACAGTATTATGTAATTTTTCTCAGAGAAAACAGGAGCTGAAATTAGGTACCTAAGGGCTGAGGTTGGAGTAATGGCATAAAATACACGTGTGTACACTGACTCTTTATTCTTCCTTTAATGGGCATGTGCCAATGGAAAGATATTTTTATTTGAACAAGACTTTTGCTAAATTCCACCTGTTTTCTTTCTTTAAAAGAAAAAAAAAAACCCACAACACCACCACCACTATTTAAGTTGTTGGTTTGTAAGTTACACTTTGGAGCTACTCCAAACCTATCAAAACCAGATGGTGGTTATTCTGTACATTTCTGCTTATGTATATGGTCTGACACAATGAAGCCAGGGTAAGTCCTGGCATTTCCCAGAAAATTACTCTTTACTGAACTAAGTAGGTCAGAGAAGGAAATGTTTCCTTTGCATTCAGTCTTGTACTTCATTTCGATACGATGACAATCTTCACTTGGAATAACAAAGATCTGCCTAGCCAGCAAGAAGAGAGGACCCAGTGTGTATGTTCTTAGTCATTAGCTGAGCTACAGTAACAAGCCATGCCTGAGCTCCTACTCCTTTCCCAATCAAGACATAAAACATGTCAGTTTGTAACAATTGTTAGGCATCTCTTGCCCAGAGAATCTGTGGCTGCCCCATCCCTGGAAGTGTTCAAGGCCAGGCTGGATGAGGCTTTGAGCAACCTGGTCTAGTGGAAGGTGTCCCTGCCCATGGCAGGGGGCTTGGAACTAGATGATCTTTAAGGTCCCTTCCAACCCAAACCATCCTATGACTCTGTAAGTTACTCTGGTTTATGTTGCAGTTGGAAAAAGTGAACAGGTAATTGTAGCAGCTTAGATTTCCATCCAGCACACATGCTCTCAGCATACAAAATGAACCAGAGGAGAAATAGAACTTATACGATAGCATTCTAGGACACTGCTAGGGTTGTTTGGGTTCCTTAACTACACAGGACTACACTACACCTGAACATTCATTTCATAGCTTCATATATTTTTTAATTAGATAGAGATTTTAATATACCCCCACATATCAACGTTAGTCAGAGAACCCCATGAAAACTGCCACAGAACTTTTGTAATTTCCCACAGACAAAGCAAACCAATGCACAGCATATCTATTTTTATATAAACTATATGTAGACTATATGAACTATATATAGAAAAGACATGTATATGAACTATATATATAAACACCTGTATGTAACTACATTTAAAACTTTATAGAAGGTTATAAAAGTTTATATAAGCTGCAGGTTGATATGCATCACATGTTGCTGCCAAACAGCCAAGACCAGTCAGAAGAGAGCATTTACACCTGCGTTTAGCCCTGTGTATACACACTCCTTGCACATCGCTGCTCTGTCCTCTTCCCACACATCACTGCTGTCCTTTCTGGTATCTGGATGACTTTTCCTTTCACTTCGTAATCCAAGAATCCTCCAGTCACTTACTGTCCCCACGAAAAAAAGGCAGGAGCATATCCACTTTGAGGAGTTTTGCCCAGATCCATTCTCTCACAAGGATCAGCTCAGAACCCAAGTCAGCAACGATTCTACTACACTTTTTTTTGGTCTCATCCTCAGAGACAGATGGCTAATAAAGGAACAATTTCCTTTCTGAAGCTGCCAGGCACAGCCTAATATTTAGAGCTCTGCAAGACAAGTTGTACGTCTAGCCTTTGTACATCAAGGGTTGCACTGCACAGAAAGGTATATTCACTGTTGCACATTTTGCTTAATGTTACAAAGATCAAAATATCTTATGAGAATCAAAATGTTTATTTTTTTGCCTAACTTACTAACTATAACATATCATTTTACTCTGCTGCATTTAACAAACTTGCACAGGCCACAGCAAAGCCTTATTATTAAGAAAGAATCTGAATTTATTGTTTCTGTG